GGGGCATTTGTCAACCCAAATGACATCACTAGGAATTCGTAATGCCCATATCGAGTCCGAAAAGCTGTCTTAGGGACATCAGATGCCCTAATCTTCAGCTGATGGTAACCAGACCTCAAATCGATCTTCGAAAATACCTTGGCACCCTGAAGACGATCAAATAAGTCATCAATTCTTGGCAGCGGATATTTGTTTTGGCCTTATTCAATTGTCGATAATCTATACACATCCGCATAGAGCCATATTTCTTCTTTACAAATAGTACTGGAGCACCCTAGGGAGAGACACTGGGTCTAAGGAATCCCTGATCAAGCAAGTCTTGTAACTGCTCCTTTAATTCTTTCAACTCCGGCGGGGCCATACAGTATGGTGGGATAGAAATGGGCTTAGTGCCCGGATCCAAATCAATACAGAAGTCAATATCTCTTTCGGGTGGCATTCCCGGCAAATCTGCAGGAAGTACTTCTGGAAAATCACGAACAACTGGTACTGAGTCCATAGAAGTAACATCCGTACTGGGATCGCGAATATAAGCTAAATAGGCTAGACACCCTTTCTCGACCATAAGCCGAGTTTTCATATAAGAAATAACCCTGCTGGCAGAATGACCAGGAGTTCCTTTCCACTTTAACCGAGGTAACCCCGGCATGGCTAGGGTCACTGTCTTGGCATGACAATCCAATATAGCATGATAAGGTGACAGCCAATCCATACCCAAGATGACATCAAAATCTACCATATCAAGAAGTAGAAGATCCACACTAGTCTCAAGATTACAAATAGTAACCACACATGAACGATATACATGATCTACTACAACAGTGTCTCCCACTGGTGTACACACACAGAAGCACTCAGAGAATCACAAGGCACAACCAAATATGAAGCAAAATAGGAGGACACATAGGAATAAGTAGATCATGGATCAAATAGAACTGAAGCATCTCTATGGCAAACTGGAATAATACCTGTGATCACAGCATCAGATGACTCGGCCTCAGGCCTAGCTGGAAAAGCATAAAATCGGGGCTGGGCCCACCACTCTAAACCGCATTCCTGGGACGACCTCTAACTGGCTGGCCTCCACCTCTAACAGCCTGACCTCCACCTCTCATAGCCTGACCTCCACCTTTAGCTGTCTGACCCCTACCTCTAGCTGGCTGAGCAGGCGGTGAAGCAACCGGTGCCGATATGATGGCACGTGAATCCTGCCGAGATCTGTTACTCGCCAACCTAGGGCAATACCTTCTGATGTGACCAATGTTCCCACACTCATAACACCCATCCGGATGCCGTGGCTGTTGAAGCTGAAACTGACCCAAATGGGCTGGATAACTGCTGTAGTAACTGTAGAGTGGCGGTGCACTGATATGAGCTGAATGTGCACTGAATGCTGGCTGCCTAGAGTAAGGCATAATAGGACCGTGACTCCCTG